AACCAGCCTGCCCGCCCCGCGCCGCTGGGGCTCCTGGGAAATGTAGTCCCAGAGGCCTCCGGCGCAGGAGCGCTTGCTTGGCGTGAGAAATACAGCTCCCAGGTTACCTTCCCCGCCACAGCCTCGCCCCCTCCAGGCCTGCGCGCCTGCGCACTGGGCCACCCCTCCCCCTCAGGTAGCGCCGCACTCCCGGTTCCTGTGAAGGTAGAAAGCGCGAAGTTAGTGTGCTTGCTGCCCTTCCGTGGGAGCTGTCGGAAGGAAGGCCCTTGTGGGGGGGAAGAGGTACCAGGCCAGAACTTCTCGGGCGATAAAGAGAGTGGGCAGCATTTAACGAGCGCCTTGCCCAAGAGTTTGCTCAAGTGGCTTGAGCAGCACACTGGGTTGGACAGTTGTACTGCAGATGATTGTTTTCAACGGCAGTTGGCCCGCCTATTGCCCTGCCCTCCAAGCCGCTCATTGGCGGAGGCCGGAGAATGACGTCCTCGGTGGTGCGTGGGTATCCCCGGGTTCTGGCTTCTTTCCCGCTCTTGATTGGTAATTGGATATGCTCCGTTCTCCCTGATAGGCTAATCTTTTTTCTTTACGATGCAGAAACCGTATTTCAAAACCTGAACATTCAGCGGTTTCCTAGTTCTTGCGTTGGTCTGAGAACGTGTAACTTCTGCGCCCTAGCAGCCAATCATCCTTTTCTTGGCGCTCCAGTCGTTTTTCTCCTAGCGTTTTGCGTTCCCGTAGCCATGCTTTGGCCATCTGTCTAAGAACAATTAAAGTGCCTGGAGAATGCAACGTTTAAAAACTGTAAAGGATTTTTTTACTGTATATGCATAATGGCAAGGGTCTACTAGAATGTTTAAGAAGATCCTTTTAATCAGGGTGAACATTGATTCATTTCGTTTCCTGGTATTGGAACTCAAGGCACAGCACCCAAAAATAGATTGCAGAACAGAATGTGCCAACCCAAAATAAGCCACTCTGGCATATTACTTTGAGCTACTGAGAACCAGGCAACACAGAAAGGTGTTTCACCCCCCCTCCCCCCCCCCGCCTCAAACGTCTAAAATTAAGTATTAAACTCCCGTTTTTAAAGAGAAATCTACATTTGAAAAGGCAGTTTTCATTAGGGAAAGTATTTGTACCAGGAAAAGAGCTGCTCTTAGACAACTGTTAGCCCCTGAGAGATTTTATCTGCAAAACTAGGCACCCTTTATTCATTTCGTATGTCCTTCCTTTACCCTCTCTTGTTTGCCCGGAAGCCTCAAGTCCAATTCCTTTCTTTGGATCAGTATGTAACATAAGCCTCAATCATCTGGCCTTTCTTTGATTCTCATATTTCTGGGACTCCCATGCTTACTTCGAATTAAAATTGTTTTTCTTGGGCCAGCAGGTGGTGTGATGGTTAAAGCAGCTGGATTTCCTCATGGCCAACTGCGGTTGGAGTCCCATACATTTTGGCTTGAAAATCACGCTGGGCATGTCTGTGTACATGCCTAAAATCCCCAGAGGAGAATGAGGGGAAGGGACTGCAGCATGACCATCCCCTCTTGGAGTGATTTCTCACTTTATCTCTGTCTCTCTCCATCTCTCTTCTTTCTTGTGAGTGCACGTGCTCTGTGACAAAAACCTAAAAAAAAGTGTTTTTCTCCAGTTAATCTGGTTTATGTCAATTTAATACATAGGGTAGAGGAAAGCTCTACCTCCTCTACTTTGGCCTAAGTCTCAGGTGCTTAGGATTCAAGCTAAACATCATTGATACTAAGGTAGGACTTAAATATTCCATTCAGTAGAAACACAAAGGAGGAAATGGTCAGTTCTACCTGAAATGGTAAAGTTATAGTGCTAGGTTTTGAAAGAAGCTCAGATAACCAGAGAGAGTAGAGATTATCTTCTTTTTTTTTTTTAATAGAAATTTTACTACAGGGTGCGAGTGCTCGCCTAAGAGACAGAGACAAAAAATGGGAAAGCTAGTCACCAGGTCTGCGACTTGAACCATAGCATATGCGGAAGTCCTGCGCCTTAACCACTACACCACTTGCTGGCCCCAAGATGATCATTTACAACAAACTTCCTCACATTTTGAAGGTATCTTCGATCAAGAAGGAATCAGTTGCTCCTATTACCAGGCATTATGGTAAATGGCTGTGATAGCAGATGTAAATTGGCCTTTTTCCATCTGGAAACTAAACCTATTGAAGAAATAAACATCCAAACAAGTTAAAAATTATGTTGCACACAGAGGTTAAGTTCTAGTGCATAAGGAGCCAGATCCCACATGGCCGACCAGGGTTCAAATCCCAGTCCCAGCGGCTTGAAAAACATGCTGGACACCCGTGTTCATACTCTCTCCCTCCCTCCTTCCCTTCCTCTTTCATGAGTATACACACACCCTGGCAATAATAAATGTTTTTCTTTTTAATTTAATTTATTTTTACATTTTCCCACAAACATTTGCTTTACATATCAAAAAATTTGCTTATACTCCATGGTTCGTGACAGTTAATAGATAAGCAACTTTCAAAATTAAAAAAAAAAACCTGAATTTTAAAGACAACTTTCAAAATATTTGTTATAATTTTGTTTGTGACTCTATAACGACAGAAACTTTATGGTTTTAGATATTTCTGAGAAAACATTTACCTGTCAATTACTGAACTGTGTGAAAAGCAAACACCCAGCATGCAATTTGCACATGAACCTTCTCAACTCAGCCCTGCCTACCAGATGTTCTGTGGTTTACCATCTGCTAGAAAAGATCAGTCTCTTTTTCCTCCTTCAGAGTCTTCTTCAAGGTAATCCTCTGGCTATGGCTGCTCTTTTGCAGTCTCTACAGATTACAATGCTGGGCTGGATAAGTTCAGGTTATTTTATGGTATGAGTTCTTTCAGGTAGCTTCTCTAATCCTCTCTGCCAGGTAGAACTGTTATGCCAACGGTTTGTCCCTCCTTTTCCTTTTTTTTAAATTTTACTTTCTCATTCTGCTGCTCAGCCTCCGCACAATGAGTGTCTAGACAGGCCTAGGTGCACAGTAGCCAAGCATCTGAATACTTTTAGGGTCACAGAAATCCTCAACTCGTACTGAACCCCTGCTTCCCAAAAGAAGAAACTCCTCTTTTTAAGTCTGAACTAAAAATCTCTTTCTGTGGGTACCACATTGCAAAACACAATAGAGGTGAGAAACCGTCACAGAAGTACCTCACAGTAAGGGGAAGCACATGATCTTACAGTTGCAGAAGCCTTCTCCAACCAATTAACCAAAAGTGAATACAGCACCAAATGACTATAATTCAAAGAAGAGAGACTGCTGAGTGAGCAGCAGGGAAAAATATCAAACTGCAGAGAGAGTGTGGCTCATCTCCTCTTGTACAACTCTGAACTCTCAGTTAAAACTCCACAACTCAGCCTAGGTGCACCTATTCCCTAGAAACTGTGAGGCCTTTATAATAACCAGTTCCAAAGTCAAAAGCTCAATTTGGTTGGTGAGCATCAGGGAAACAGAACTGTAGAGAGATTGTGGATCGCCTCCTCCTACACACCTTTGAACGCTCAGAATTAACTCCAAGAAGTTAGGAAGAAACGTATAATCCATCAGATGACCAGAAACTACTGCAGAGGCACAAGAAATATGAGAAACGAAGAAAATCTCTCTCCCCTAGGGGAAAAGAACAACCAACCCTTCAGCACCCATAGACAGTACAGTGAAACTCATGGAAATGTCCGATAAAGAATTCAGAATATACATAGTGACAAAACTAAATGAGAGGCAAGAGATGAGAGACAATAAACTCCAGAAGGTGCAAGAGAAAAGAGACAATGAGTTCCAGAAGGAAAGCAAGTTCTGCCATGATTTGAAAGAAGAAATACACACCATAAAAAAGAATCAAATGGAGCTGTTAGAGATGAAGGCTGTAATACAGGAAATCAAAAGTTCT